GACAGAAAGACATTTCAGTGTCTCAAGAAACTTCACTGAAAAACACACAAAAGGTTTGAGCAACTTGCTCATTCAAGCTCCCCCTACTAAATGAGTTTCAGCAGGATCTGTCATATTTTCCAGTTTTGTGCTATTATCATGCTTCTAAAACGTTCTTACAACATTTCAGTCAGATGAAAGAAGTGTTCACAAAGTCAGAAATAAACCAGAAAATAAGGCTTGGTGCATTTCAGTATGCCCCATCTCTTACTGGGCTCTCACTTGAGAGAGACATCGTGCCACTTGCTGGCATTTATCCAAAGACGGAAAGGTCTGTATTTCCTGCACATTGCAAAACTGTCACTATCAACAGTGATAAACACCAAATATCACACAATATTACGCATGTAACTTGTCCCTGTTTGCCTACATTCATATTTCAATAAAGATAACAACAGCAGTCAGGAGTCCAACACTTCAACAGAAATGCAGTCTTAAATAATGACTTTCTGAGCAGTCTGTACTTGGTTCAATCACACAGATCCAACCACACATGCCTCCCAGATCCATCTCCTCTCTCTAAACCATATTATGACATCAAAACAAGTACAGATCAGTTTTTTAGAACCTCTTAAGAAATCTTAAAATTGCAGTAGGTAGTCTGCCAGGCAGTAAATACAACAGAGTAAGGACACAACATTACAGATGGACAAAAAAAAAAGCAACACATTTGTTGTATGAATGGCTGCAGCATCTGAAGGCCTGAAGCACAACTGTAAAATATTTACAGATCCTAATAATGGAAAAGGATTGTGAATCAGCAAGGTTAGCACCAGATGTCTTTCAGTCCTTTCTTGCAGATCGAAAACCAACCTGAGGCACACATCTGGCAAGGCCTTGCAACACCAATGGCCAAACAATCACAGAGAAACACTGCAGCCTTCAGTGGCTAGGAAAGTTCTAGGTGCTCTCAATGAATCAGATCTGGATCGGTTTCTTGCGACCTCTCCCCCAATCTAAGCCATCCTACTTATTTTAGAAAGGGCAGCCTCATGGAGGTCAAGATTTCACCATGACATTAAACCACCTAAAAAGATTCCAGCAACCCTGCGGGTCAGGAATGGAAGGATCACTGAATCTAACTGGCAGTCGCCATATCCAGGCTACTCTTAGCTCCTTGTTTTCATGTTCTTTTTCTCTTTCTTTTGCTATTTTTCACTCTCCTATTTTATAGGTTTGTTCATACTTAATTACCAAGGAGGCTCTGAGCTCCTACACTGCTTGATGTTCTTGTCTGAATGGTCACAGAGCAAGGCATCATAAAACACTTGATGCCTGGTGCAGAAAGGGGTGTTCAGCTCCGACCTTCTAACCTGCTAACACAAACAACTCCTGCGCACAACCGGACCAGCCATGCTTCCACCAACAGTCTGAAGGCTGTTTACAAACAATGGCCCCTTTACAAGGCATGTCCTTCCTCCTCCCCCTCCTTGCAATGCAAATACCTACTTTCAGCTACAACGCACTGCAGCTTGTTGGTTATTACACCAAGAGGAGCGTCAAGCCCGGGCCCTGACCGTGCCTACAGGCTTCTCACCCGCTCCAAAACCACTTCTAAGCTCAAGGACCGCCTCGCAGGGTCTCTGCGTCATTAGCGTAGCCTGAGGAAGGGGGACAAACAACCCCAGCAACCGGGGCACGGGAACTGAACAGTCCCAGGGGGGTCCCAACCGCAGCGAGTACCGCAAACTCGGCCGGAAACACTCGAGGAGAGAAGGAAGGGGGTCCCGACCCCCGGGGGCCGCCCAGGGACAGAGCCCTTCAGCTCCAACCACCCGCCGCGCCCCAGAGCCGCCGGCTTCCCTGGGCCCCGGCTGCGGCCGCATCCCGCCCTGCCCCCGCGCCAGGCGGGCGGTACCTTGGGGGGCCGGATCTTGCAGATGCCGGTTTTCTCGGCCAAGCCGCGGATGCGGCCGATGAAACCGAGCGGGTCGCTGAACTCCTCCCAGCTGGGCTCAAATACGGGGCACTCGGGCGGGGGCACGAACTCGGCCGCGTAGCGCGACCCGCCGCCCCCCGCCATAGCCGAAGGGGGGAAGGCGCTGCCGACAACGGGGCGCGGGAGGGGGGCGGGGAGCGCACCGAGGCACGGGCACAGAGGGGCGGCCCTCAGGGGCGGCCGGTGGGGCAGGGCAGGCGGCCGAGGCGCATCCTCAGGCGGCCGGAGCAAGGCAGAGGCAGGGCAGGGCCGGGCAGGGCAAGCCGGGGCGGGGCAGGGGGGGCGGCGCGGCCTGCTGGCACGCGGGGCGGCTCCTGCCGGGTGTCGTCGCCCCGTCCCCCGGGGCTACCTCCCCCCGCGCCGAGCCCCTCTGGCTCGCGTTCCAGCTCGTCCGGAAGTTACGCGGTCTCTTTCAGCCCTCCCCCGGAAGCGGGAACAGTTGTTGTCTTCCGACCCGAAAAATAGTCCCTCCGCCGCACTAGTCTCCAGGCGGCCACCAGCACTGTGGGAACGGCCACCTGCCGTTCCCGCCCGCTCGCGGGGACGCTGCTCCGGAGGAACTGAGAAGGAAAGCGCTCGGCCCGACGCTTCTAGAGAAATCGTGCGACGCGGCGCCGGGGGCGGCCGGGGGAGGGGAACTGGGGTCGAGGGGGGAAGGGGACCGCCTCCACTTCCGGCGCGGAGGAATGTGCGACGATACTGAGACCATTCACTTCCGGTGCTGAAGGGCCGTTTCGCCCATTGTCTGAGCCGGACGTCAGGAGGAAGGCTGGGAGCCCCGCCCCCTTGCAGGCCTGGCCCCTTGCGGCCGTTGGGCCCTCTGGGGTGGGGGGAGGGGCGGACCCTTCCCCTCAGGTGGCGCCGTGCTATGCTCCGTTCGGGACCCGTGTGTTAGTTTTTGACATGCTCTTTTTGAGGTTTATTCTCTTTCTTTTTCTTCTGTTTATTCTCGTTGTTTAATACTCAGTCACCGTACCTTTTCAGCCCCAGAGAAAGTAATTTCCTCCTACTCCCTCCAGGCTCACCGTGCCTGCGTCAGACAAATGAATGCGCTTCCATTAGCAGCGTTTCCCTGCTAGATTGAGGAGGCGGTGCTCCCATTTTACAGACAGGAAGGAAATGGCTTGGAAGCAAATGGTCAATTTTGACAAAATTTATATGAACAAACCGATCTTGTGAAACATCAGATGAGCCTGCCAGTGGATACTGTGCTGCGGCAATGTTTCACTACATTTCTGCAGGGGCTCTGGACATGGGTGACAGATATTTTTATGACTAAGAGCATGTGGAGTGCAGATGTTCGCCCACCAGCCACTAGAAATTGTGTTTCTACATAACACTGCCATATTTTTTTTTTCATAGTGTCTCTCTGAAGAGCAGTAGCAGGTTATTTTTGTATGGAGACTGTTCCCAACAACTGAATCGCCAACATACTCCATTTCCAAGATAAGCAGTGACTCAGCCAGGAATACTATGTGGAAAAAAAAACCTGCGTGCTAAAAAGCTCCTAATCTGTGTCAAAATTTCATTGTAGGAACAGCCCATTGTTTTCCTTCCAGGCTGTTCAAAGTTCATTTCTGTGTTTTGGTGAGAGGATTTCAGCAGATACTGATAGGAAAAGTGGGAAGATTTGGGAAAAGTTTGTTTTTTATATCTTCATCTGTGATCTGGAAGAAGAGAGTGCTAATGATATAAAGCTGAGAGGAGTGGCTGACAAAACAGAATACTTCAACAAGACCTGGACAGGCCGGAAAGTTGGGTAGAGAGGAACCTGATAAGGTTCTACAAGTGCAGATGAAGAGTCTTGCACCTGGGGAGTTAATAACTGCATGCACCAGTACAGGTTAGGGGCTGAGCTGCTGACAGAGAAGCTCTGTGGAGGAGGACCTGGGTGTTCTGGTGGACAATGGATTGACCATGAAACAGCAGTGTGCCCTTGTGGCCCAGAAGGACAGTGGAATCAAGGAATGCATTAAAAAGGGCATGGCCATCAGGTTGAGGGAGGTGATCCTCCCTTCTACTCTGCCCTGGTGGGGTCACATCTGAAGTACTGTGTTCAATTCTGGGCTCCCCAGTCCAAAAAAGATATGGAACATCTAGCAAGAGTCCCAAAGAGGGACACAGATTATGAGTGGTCTGGTATATGGTCTATGGTCTGGTATATCCCCTGTACAAGGAAAGGCTGAGAGACGTGGGAGTCTCCAGCCTGGAGAAAACTGAGAGATTATCTCATCACTGTTTATAAAAATATCTGAAGTGTGGGAATCAAATGGATGGAGCCAAACTCTTTTCAGTGGTGTGCAGCAACAGAACAAGGTGCACAAGCTGGAACACAGGAAGTGCCAAAATAATGCAAGGAGGAATTTCTTTTCTGTGAGAGTGACAGAGCACTGGAACAGGCTGCTCAGAGAGGTTCTGGAGTCTCCTTCTCTGGAGACTTACACCTCTCATACAGAGTGTTCAACTGCTTTACATGAGGTGGGGAGCACAGCCTGTGCTAGCCTTCCTCCAGAGAATTATCCACTGCCATCTTGCTGTCTTCTGAATTTATGAAGAACTTCGTAGCTTTGGAAGTTAGTCTAGGTTTATTTTCTAGCACACGTGGTACCTATATTAGGAAGTGCTGAATTGCATCAACGATAAGAAGTGCTGCTGGGTATGGGAAGATACATGGGGGAAGGCAGAGGTTGAAAAGCACCTAGATGATGCAAAATTGTACATTTGGATACTCAGGTGTTATTGAAACAGTGAATCTTGTGACTGATTCCTGACTCCTATGCGTCATTCTGTTTACTATTTTTATAGGAGAACAGCATGCTTTTGCCACTAGTGTTCATGAAGTACGTTCTGGCAGCAGGCTGTCGTTGTTTCACCGGAACCCAAACCACAGCCCCCCAGACAAACAACTCAACTGGAGCTGCGCGCTCCAGCCGCCCCTGCAGGCCCCACCGCTCGCCGCGCACGCGCAGTGCTCCCTTCCAAGACTACAACTCCCAGAGGCGCCAGCGCGGGACGCGTGCTGTCCGTGTCGCGAGTGCCGATTGGTAGAGAAGGCCCGATGCGCGTGGAAGGCTGCTCGTGATTGGCAGAGGCGGCGGGTCTGTCCGCTGTTTGAGTGTGGGAGGGTAACAAGCGGCGGTCTCCATGAGCGCTACAGGCGGCTCGGTGGGACGCTCCGCGCGCTCCAGAAGGTAATGTGGGGGCTGTTGTTTCTGCAAGCGTGTTGTTAAACGTGGGAAAGTTCCTACAGGAAGTATATTTTTGCTAATGGTTATTAGTGTGCTAGAGCGGCGGGAATTAATGACTTGGATTCGTATGAGGCTTTCGTGGATGTTGTGCATCTGAGTTCTGACCTAAGCAGCACTGCAGGTCCCTGTGTTACCTGTGAGCAGAGCTCTGGCTCTGGTTTGGGCTTCTGGAGTGAGTTCTTACTAGGGTGAATAGATCTCTTCTAAAGAGATCTTAACTTTAATTCTGCTACAGATCATGTTATTAAAGAGTATTTGTCAGCTCAACGTAAGTAACTAACTCTTACCAAGGATTGAATGGTGTGTGCAGCTCTGTGTATGCAAAAGTGATACCTATTGCAGTAGGTTGAATGTATGAATGCAGTAAATGCTGCTTAAAGCCAAATATGAGATTACACATATGTATCCTTGATTCAATTTATGTAATAAATTCAAGAAATCATAGCTTTCCATTTCATTGTCAAGGCTGGACAAACTATGGGTGTTACTCACAGTTAACACCAGAAAAAAAAACAAACGTGTGGACTTCTCATCCTACATCCAAAGTTAGGATGGTTTGGGCATCAACTAACCTGAAATTGTCATCTTTACTGAAAAGTCAGTGAAATCAAAAGTGCTTCAGATAATGTTTTTCTCTCCATAGAGACTATGAAAGATTTATCTTGGTCTTTTATCTTGTAGTGGTTGCTACCTGTAATTGCACAACAAAAGACAACTTTGTTCTCCTTGATCTCTCCTCCTTTACTTACCACCTTCTCTTTCTTTTAAATTCACCTAAATGAGCCACAAGACTTCCCTTCCTTGACAATTTGTCTTTCTCCCTTTTCCATAAGCTTCCTCCATCTCCTGTGCCCGAAGTCTGCCAACTGTTCTTTAATGAATGAAGCTTTTGGTTCTCTTAAGTACTGTTTTCTTTTTTCTTCTGATGATTCTTGGAGTGTAGATAAGCTGAAGTATTTAAATTTTAGTAAGTTAAAAGCAAAAATCTCCTATTTTGCTTAAAAAATGCTTTGTAGTCTGAAGTGTACATGCTATTAGAAAAGGTATGATTACTGTTGAGCACCTGGAGAAAGGACCCTGGGAGCACAGGTGGAGGCAATTCACCTGTGTGACCAGAAGTGGCGGAGCCTGGCTGCGCCTCTCCTAGACCTCATTTAACAGCTGACTGTTACTGAGGAAGGATCTCTGGTTAGAGTTCCTTCCCTTGTGGAGTTTTCCTTGTGAGCCTAGATCTTTGGAGACAAGCACGTTTTCCTTTATAACACCATCCCATTCACACTAGTCCTTTTGCTACTATACTTCTGTATTGCCCTTTCACTGCATTGACCTTTCTGATTGTAACAGAAAATATTTATGCCTAGGCTGGCAACCCCCCACAGCTCATCCAGGTACTCTAGTTCTCAGCCTCAGAGTCAGGGGGACTCTACTCCTCTCCCTTCAATCAATGAACGCCTGGCCTTCCTCCGCCCTTCCCGGGAGCTGCTGGAATACTACCGCAAGAAGATTGCCGACTTTGATGAAGAGCATGAGGATTTGGTAAAAAGGCTGGAGAGATACAAAGAAACATACGATGAGCAGGTTAGGAGAAGAGCTTTATTTGATTAAAAAAAATAAATAAATCAGAAACTTGAAAATCTTTTCATCTGAGGAGAAGGGGCTTCTTTTTCTCTCATTCCTATTCAGGCATCTGTCTGTTGTTTTGTTTAACCCTCTGGAAATAGAATGGTCACTTCTGAGGGGACTATGGTGCCTCCCCAAGTACTGGTGATGTCTGAAATGGCCTGAAAGCCCTCAGACATCCCAACTAATTTAATATATAGGAAAAGAGAGGACGGGTTCTAAAATAGTTCCATCTGTCCAAGGGGAATAGCCTTCTGAAGGGATTGCTAGTTTCCTGCACTAGGCAGAAAATCATTAATGAAACTTTGTAACTGAACGCTTTTTTCACTACTAAGTTATATAAAACTTTTAATGCTTATCCTTCTGTAACTTCTTGAAAATAAGTTTATTACATAGTTTTTGCTAAGGTTTTCTGCCTATTGGTGCAGAAATGCAACCATTGGAAATGGGAGACCCTAACATAAGACTTTTCACTGGTGTTGTAAGCTCCCTATTGAAACCTACTTACTAATTTTTCAGTACTACCTTCATCTGGTCAATTGTTGTAAGAGGAAAACACAATTCACTCAAACTGACAGTTCAACACACCACTTACAGACACAGGGTATGGCCTATGTGGTGTGTTGTTTCTAATGTTGCCCAGTGCTCACTGAAAGTACCTCGTTGTCTTTACCTAGCACAAACTGCAATGGGAAGTACGTCAGCGAGAAGAGGAGATTGCAGAATTGCAAAAGGCTTTGAGTGACATGCAAATCTACCTGTTCCAGGAGAGGGAACACGTGCTCCGTCTTTACTCTGAGAACGACCGACTGAAAATCAGGTGCACTGTCTGCATATTGGGCTGGGGCACTGGCAGTAGAAACTGCATGGATCCCATGGATCCTTCTAGTTCTCATCCAGATCTGGAGTATTCAGAGAAGCAGCAAAGCGGCACTTCCCACAGTGGGAGTTTTCTGTTAAAGCTTTAAGAATTGAAGCAAAAAAAAGAAAAAAAAAATATCTGTGTTGGTATGCTTTGGCATCTCTTTGGAGCATGACAGAAATCTGACACAATCCTCAATCTAGTTTACTTTAAGAAAAACAGTGGGTAATACAATCCACTGAAGTATCTGCAAGGTTTTTATATACAGTTCATAACTGCGGAATGCAAATTCTTTACTACCATGAGTTATCAGGCTTGTATTTGAAAAGAAGAGCACTCCTCAGTGCTGACAGAATTGGTGGTTTTTTTTATTGTGCAACATCAGAGGTGTCTCAGGGAGCTTGTTAAAGTATTCTCAAGAACTTGACAGTTTGGAAATCTTGGAGATTTTGATGAGTAAGGTGGAAATATAGCATGTCACAATGTATTGATCCATTTCTTTACATTACAGGGAATTGGAGGATAGGAAAAAAATTCAACATCTCCTGGCTTTAGTGGGAACAGACGTAGGAGAAGTTACATATTTTCACAAGGAGCCACCACATAAGGCAAGTTCAATTTTTCTGTGGAGCTATTTTGCGTTGTTACAAGAAGATGTGTACCCCAAAGGCTGACCACAGACCAAATGTATCCCCCGAGTCAAAAGATGCTAAATAAGCCCAAAAGAGGGAGGAATTTGTAGCTTTATAGCAGCATCAGGCTTTAGTATAGCTACTGACAGATAAGTAGGAACAAACACACCAGAGCTAGGTCCTGTTAGCATTCAGCCCCTTCTACCTTCAAATTATACCTCAAGATTAACCCCCTAAATGTCAGCTAGGAGTCTGAATCCATCTGGCAAGTGGTTATTGAGAAGCTGGAGAGAAGAGCACAAAGGCAGAAGGAAGTGCAGAAAGTCGGTACGTGTGATGCTCCAAGATATTTGATCTTCAGAACAGCACAGGTAGCATTTGGGACCTCCATGAAGGGTGCAGAAGTGTTAAGGTTGCTCTTGTGGTTTCCTGGGCAGGGGATTACGGAAGAACCTCCCTCTCTAGGCAATGTTGTATTGCATGTTACAGAAATAATGTCAAACTAATTATGTGGCAATGCATATGAAAAGCAGCATAGCGGAACATACTCGCACTTTCTTGCCATACATGGCATGATTCAGATATACAGAGGATGATGGAATGTTAGGATTTCTCTTTGTGTAAGGTGAGGGGAAAAAGGCTGGATCCCTGCATTCTTTGTGATTGCTCTGCATTGTTAAAGCAGTGGAAAAATCTTGCAGTGGCTTTAAAATTCCAAAATATGGATATTTCTAAAATTAGGCCTATTATATACATAGGTTGCTCTGAAAGTAATGCCTCCTGTTTATTTCCATGGAAACTACAGCAGATACAAAGAGTACAATAACACTCTTTGATGGAGCAGATTCTCAGCTACAAAACACTATTTTCAGCACAGTCACCACCATTAGCTTTGTATTTTCACCAGTGATGAACAAAAGCCTGCATGTTGAACTTGGAAAAATCTGCACCAGTGAAGATGACCCACTGTTTCACAGCTGCTACGACAGCATTGTTGCTAGGAAGGTGTTGCCCACACAGTCCATCCTTCATCTGCCTGAGAGATGAAAGTCAGAAGGTGCCATATTCCAACTGTACAGTTGGTGCAGCAGGACAGTCCAGCCAAGATTGGCCATGTGATTCAGGATCTTCAAACTGGTTTGGAACCTGGCATTATTGTGTTTTAAGAGAAAGGTTGTCTTCTCTGGCCTGACTCTGGAATTTCAAGCCTTCAGCTTAGTGTTGTCTTGTAGGCATCAGAGTTGATGGTTAAGGAAATCCAGAAAGATCATCCTGTCCCAGAAGACACTGCAATCACTTTACCTGTTGAACTTTTTCTTTGACAGGGAATTCATGTTGCCACTCTATGGATTGTCATTTTGACTCTAGCTCATAGTGGTGACTGTATGTCTTGTCACCAATAATGATGTCTTGTCACCTTCAGCCTCATATTGTTTCAATAGGTCCAGACAAACTTGTGTGTCATGTTCTTTCTGTTCCCACGTGAGCGTTCATGGGACCCTCCTGGCACAAACTTAGTGATTTTCTGATCTTGCCAGCATCGTCTCCAGTGCTTTGAAGCCAATATTCAGTTCCAGCACAGTTCTCTGGTTATCCAGTTAGTGTGGATGAGCTGATTGAAACACTTAATTCCATGGTGTGGCAGCCACATGTAGCTGTCTAGGACATGACTTGTCTTTCATGGTGCTGTCACCAGTATTGTAACACCACCTACTGCCTCATTATGCTCACATCGACTGTTTGATCTCCCTTAACATTCAACAGACACTGATGAATGTCACTGTGTGCCATTTTCTCCACGTGGAGAAATTGAATGACACACCTTTGCTTCACACGTACTTCTGTGTCAGACACCATTTTCCCTCTGCTGCCATCTGTACAGCAACAAAATGTAACAGAATGTTGGGGGAAGGTTCAACCTCGACTGCTGTATCGCCAACATCTGCTTCTGATGTTGTGAACCAGCATATTAAAATAGAGGGCATTACTGTGGGAGCAGCCCTCATAATATCTGTGTTGAGGTAAACACTGGGGTTATAACCTGTCCCCTTTTGCCCTCCTATTTTTAAGTGGCCTTCTGTTCAACAGATGGTTTGCATTAATAGCTGTATGGGCTTTTATCCCAGGCTTGTTTAATAGCTTGAGTGAATGTGCTGATAAACGATTCTTCGTGTTTCTTTGGGCTGCTAAGAGGAGTATGAGCGAAGAAAATAACATAATTGTCATTATCACCTTCTTTATTCTCGTCTGCCTCCAAAATGTTCTTTTTCCTTCTGAAGATGCTGATTTTCATCCTAGTGAGCCAGCAAAAGCAGGATTACTTTCCAGTTGATTTGGAAAAAATAGAGGCTGAAATGGCAAAATTCTGCTGTTACAAAGGCAACTTCTTTTTACCACAGGCATTACACTTGTGAATGTCTTCCTTTTCTTGTGGTAGAGGTGAGGTATTGCTGTTGTCTTAGATATCTCAGTTCTCTCTTTAAGATTTATTCTTAGTCATGGCAAGTCAAGATGTTGAGCTATCTAATCTTGTTTCTATAGGTCACTGTTCTACAGAGGCCAGCTAGCTCCAGAGACACACATGAAGGAAATGACAATTCTAGAACAGGTACCATACCAAGATGACCTAACAGCAGCTCAGCAATTGATACTTGTTTCTCTGTGGTTTGTCCAATGTACAGAAATAATGATTTACTGTGAATACTTTGTTGTGCTCCCATTAAATTTCCTAAATGTATCCATATGTGCATTCTTATGCATATTCTACTCTAAGCTTCACTTCAGAATCCTTTAAGATAAACTGAGCTGGCTCTCATGCTCGTGATCTGTTCAACTAAGGAAGAAGCTGGAATGACTGTGGAATGTCTGTTCAGGAACTGTGCAGGTAGCGACTGATAGCCCCCCATGTCCATTCCATGATGTGGTGCTCTGCTTGCACTTAATGTAGGTGGTAGTTTGGAACTGTGTCTACTTGCAGATTTTTCTATTTGGAAAGGACTGCCATTTTCAAATAGACTGAAATGAGCTAACAAGCTCAAAACTTGTTCAAGATTTGACAAACGTGCAGCTGTTTTTTATGCTTATTCATCATTTATTTAAGAGAATATGTTTGCTTTCTGTATATGTCAAGAAAATCAGTATGTTGCCTAAATATTTAAGTTTAATAGTATGGGACAAAGAAATACAATCACTACAAGCTCTGGAATGGTTTTCTATCCAGTTATCTCTCCTGTAAGTCCTTGAAACTGTAGCAGTTGCAAGCTTTTTCCTGTTCTTGGAAGCCATCTAGTACATACAGTATCTTGTGTTTGGAAAGGTGCTGCAGGTACATTGGAGGCAACTTTTCTACTTCTTGATTTCTGCAAATAGGCACCAAGAGGAGCACTTCAAAACAAGCAGGAAAAGGAGACACACATGAAAGTCCAGAGAGATATCAGAGGGACAACCAAACACTTCTACTTCAGGTAGAACTATTTGCTAAGTGAAGGACTTATTTTCTGCCTATTCAGGAAATTGATGGATAAATATGCTGTCTGCCTACATAAGATATACACACACCAATTTTATTAGTGCCCTCTTCTTACTACTGATTCCCCCTTTCTATCAGTTTGCCTGTTCCTTTGTGATGAATAGCTTAGATTTAAGAACTTGGGTCTGACCCTGGCACCATTACATAAGCAGATGTTCCAGTAGAGCCTACTTGTATGTAGTGCCTTTAAATACAGAATTTGTAATTGAAGTTTTTTTTCAAATAGTACGTAAAATTTTTTTCAATTACTTGTTCCAGTTTGTCTCCCTGACCACGTGCACTATTTGCATCTCTATTCTTCACTCATTTTGTTTACATTTAATATTTCATTGAGTGACTTCTTTTTTTTCAAGATGTGTGGACTGGTTGCCTTTCTAGAATTTGGGTTAATGATTACCATTTCATTGGAAGCTGATAGCGTAGAGGCAGAAGTCTGTTTGCATATTCCAAAGGATTTGTCACATCCTGTGTGCAGTTTAAATCTTTCTGGTGTCTTTTATCTATTGCTGCTGTTTATCATTTCCCCGTCTTGCTTATTTGTATGATTTTTTTTTCTTAAAATGTTTTAGTTATTCAAAATAGCTAGCATTGAAACAAAAACTAAAAATGAAAAATTAAAACTCTAAAGGTTATTATCAGGTAGAGTCTCTGATTTGAATTCTGGAATTTTAAAGACACTTGCAAAGTCAGGAGCTCCACCTGTTGTGAAATCTTCCTCAGTAATATCTTTGCCTGGTTATTTAGGTGGAGGCCCTGCAAGCTCAGATAGAAGAACAGACACGATTATCCAAGGAACAGCTTCAGGCATTACTAGAGGATAGGCGGATTCACATGGAAGAAGCCCAGGTCCAGCATCAGAGAGACCAGGAGAAGATTAAAACTTTAACAGATAAGTGAGTGTGAGAGAATGGCCATGATGTAATATAGGCATGAGATGAGAAGAGGGGAAACAACAAAACTGTTGGCTTTCAGTATGTTGCTTGCTGAAGCAAGCAGAAAAGCATTTTGTGCAGCTATTGGCCTTGTCAGTATGTGGAAGTAGTTGGAGTAGTCAACATACCAGAAAAACTGTTTTGTATAGTATATCTTTCATGAGATGAGAAGAGCTAAGTATGCTGGGAAAAATGCTTGTATTTTTGTTGTCTGCTTTCTTCTGACTTGCAACAAAGACTGGGGCAATTAGGGTAGGAACTAGGGAGGAAATGAACTAAATCCTCTTGGATCTCTTTTTATAGACTCAACAAGACTCAAAATCTCTTGTATGAGAGTACTCGTGACTTTCTGCAGCTGAAGTCTGATGTTCGAGACAGTGAGAAAGCGTGGATGGTAGAGAAGGAAAATCTGTTGAGGAGGATTGACAAAGACTCAGATCAGCTTACCAGCAGGGAGGCAGGAGAGAAGAAGCAGAGAGATACCAAGAAGGTGCTTCAAGCAGATCGTGAAGCTGGGAAGCCCCACAGTAGAGAAGTAAAGGTAATTGTATTTTTTGGCCCAGGGAGGCTCTCCAGCAGTCTTTCCAAAATTGCAAGACTGGTTCTTGCCAAGTTCGGCAGTAAGTAGTTGTTTCAAAGCTGTACTGGCTTGCTTTAAGTTGCATTGTTGCTGACACTAATGTGTTTAAAAATACTGAATCTGGAGTACTGTGTCCAGTTCTGGGCTCCCCAGTACAAAAAAGACAGGGACCTCTTGGAAAGAGTCCAGCGGAGGGCCACAAAGATGGTGAAGGGCCTGGAGCATCTCTCCTATGAGGAAAGGCTGAGTGAACTGGGTCTGTTCAGCCTTGAGAAAAGGAGACTGAGAGGAGACCTGATCCAGGTCTACAAATATCTAAGATGGGGGCAGAATGGAGTGGCTGGACTCTTTTCAGTGGTGAGTGGAGACAGAAGTGAACAGTGTTGTCAGAAATGAGTAGTCCTTTCAATTGGTGTACCTTAGCTCTTTTATAGTAGTCTGGATTTTCCTTCCACTTCTAATACACTTCCAGTGCACAGTTGAGAGATCTGTGGGCAAAGTGGGCAAAGAGGCAGTAAGAATGTAGAAAATAAACAGACAGTAAGGAATTGTTTTCATCTATGCTGAATGCAGATTCTTCTGAAATGCAGTACTGAGCAAGTAGCTGTGAAAAGGAGAATTGCAGACTATGATAGAATATTATGTTTAAGGGAAAGAGGAGAGAGTTCTTTGAACTGTCGTGCAAAACTGATCACCTCATTAAAAGGTGTTGGTAATGGAAGTGGCATTATAATACTGTGGAAGGAGTCCTAACCTTGTTACTTCCATAGCTTTGCTTTCAGTTATTTGCTTGTCAGTCTATCTACATGAAGCACTTGTTTTTCTAGAGCAGGGGAAACATTGTGAGCGCTGGCTTTGGAGTTGATTCTGTTCCTTCTGTGTCTTAGACGCTGCAAGAAGAACTAACGCAGGAGCAGCGGCTATCAAACATGTACAGAGAACAGTGTATCACCCTGGAGAGTGAGCTGGCTAGGATTTGTGAAGAGAGAGATGTTGGCAGAGAACTCTTTAAGGTAATTAGTCTGTAGCCATCGACTAGCAGCGCCATGATCTTACCGTCTCTGGTGTGTTACTCCATCAAGTTTTCATCTCGATAGGAACGCTCAGAAAAGATGGGGAAGCGTTTGAAGCTGGTGACTCAGCGATACGAGGCCTTGGAAAGACGTCGTAATATGGAAGTGGAAGGCTTTAAGAATGACATTAAACAGCTCCGGCAGAAACTGAAAGATGTAGAGAAGCAGCTTTTTAAGGTAATAGCTCGTTGCTAATTGCTATGGGCTTAACCAATCAAGGTGTAGTCTCAGGATTTGAATTAAGATTTCCCTAGAGTTAAAATAAATTCATTTTCTGAGTGGTTGTTCAAATATTAATATTTGATAAAGCTTGTCCTGTTCTGTATATTATTAAGCAAAAAAGATTTGTCATCATTAATCAGTTGAGCATCAGGTTTGTCCAGGAACAGTCCTGTTTATGTATTAGCTATGAAGGTTCTCATAGAATCATTGAATGGCCTGGGTTGAAAAGGACCACAATGATCACCTAGTTTCAACCCCCTGCTGTGTGCAGGGTCACCAACCACCAGACCAGGCTGCCCAGAGCCACATCCAGCCTGGCCTTGAATGCCTCTAGGGATGGGGCATCCACAGCCTCCTTGGGCAACCTGTTCCAGTGTGTCACCACCCTCTGTGTGGAAAAACTGCCTCCTAATATCTAACCTAAACCTCTTCTGTGTCAGTTTAAATCTCCCCTTGTCCAATCACCATTCACCCTCATAAACTGTCATTCCCCCTCCTATGTAAACATTCCCTTCAAGCACTGGAAGGCCGTAATGAAGTCTCCCTGGAGCCTTCTCCTTCCACAATCTTGTAATGCCTTATTATGCCTTATTACACCTTTGGCTCATTCAGCAGACTCAAAATTGGAAGGCAGTAAAGTGGACTGATGCAGAAGAATGTTCTGCAAAGAATATGCTGTTTTGTTGGTTTTTTTTTTTTTTCTGGATGCAGTAGGGTTTGGTTTTGTTCCAAATAGAATATTGATGGAATATTGATGTAAGTATTGTGAATATTGTTTATTTTGTAAATATATCATGTGCAATAGTGCAGAAATCACAGCAGAAGCAATGACTGGAAGTTGAGGTTGTGTAACTTTGAAATAAGATGCATTTTCTAGATGTGCAGACAAACATCTGTACAGCTTAGAAAGGAAGCCACAGACTTGATGTTGTCTGGAGTTTGAGTTACGATATCTAAGATATGATTCAGAGAATTGAGGCTTGGATTTATTTTTTTTTTTAACTGTGGGTTTGCTTTTTTTCTTTTTAAGAGCTAAACTTCCCACATATGTGCGTGTGGGAGACAGGAATTGCCTATGATATCTTTACTACAGACCTGTGTATTTTGTTACTGTGGGTATGCTTAGTTGTGTTCATAATCTCTTCACACTTCCAACCACAAGAGGGCAGCGGAATAAAATACTTGTTAGAAATCTTCCCTGATCTTTAAATCCTTCTTATCACTTGAGGTCAAAGTGGCTATAGATGACTGAATGACCTAACTTGTGTATTAAAATCTTTGACAAAGAACTACGTGGTGGCAATGAGACACCCTAAAATGTCAAGAGGAAAGAGAGCTTTACGATCAGTTTTCAAGTCTGTGCTGTTGCGATGTTGAATGTGACTGGGCTGGCATGCTATTCAGTTCCAGGGTGACAGGAAATGTCAACCCTTTCTAGTTTGCCATCAGGAACTATGATTATCCAACAGCCTCAGTTCAGCTCAATGTCAGCTATATGCCATGGCCTGAGCTTAGGAGTTGTTCTTGAGCTGCCCTTGAGTTGTATGCAGTTCAGAAGGCAGCAAGCTGGCCACAGCAGTTAGATCATTTCTAGTTCTAATAGCATAAGGTGACAAAATGTCTTCGTAAGAGGGGAAAAACACACTGCTGTGTAAACATCAGTAAGTAAATGTTTTAACTCGCCTCATTTTATTCTCCAAATAATGCAGGCAGTAAAAAGTAACCCAATGGGTTACAGTAAACTTGATAATATTCTGTTGAGATTTCTTCCTTATCACTACTGTAGCATCCTAATGAATGAAAGGCTTTGCTACTTTGGCTCTGAAATAACTTTCTGTTGGTGACATGCATTAGCCTACTGACATTAGCTGAAGCATCTTGTTTGCTAGCTACAAAAGGTCTCCTTTGGAATTATCTTTCTTATATACTCATAGTATACTCTCAATTGCACTCTGTGCAATTAATTTGTTTTTCTTTTCTTCTTAGGTGACTCTGAATGTTGGACCAGACCAGGATCTTGCAATTCTACATGAGGTTCGTCAAGGAAACAGACTAACTCGTAAAATTCAAGAAGAATTAAAATACTTAAAAGCAAAAATCTATGGCTTAGAGAATGAACTACGAGTCTGCTGAAACTGAAGTTTTAGTTGGCATCAAAGTTTTCGGAATGGGACATTGCCTGTTTACTGGCATCCAGTAATAGAAGGCTTGAAGAAATCTGCAGTTAGGAACATCATAACATCCATCAGTGATATACAAGCCATTCCTAACATGCCAAACTAGATTGCTGTGTCTGTTGATAGGCACCTGATGAGTCTGCTATAGAAAGTATCAGAAGTCTGATACATCAGGAACATTTTTATGCCTTTTATTACTTTCATATTTGTGGTGTAGGGAGTGGTGTATACTGATCTTAAACTTCATTTGGAACATTTCAGAAAGCAGGAATATAAATTAATGGCCATTAAAAGATCTAGTTCAAGATCTGAATTGCTTGGCTCACCTTTTCCTATGTGAGAAAGAGCTTTTAAAGTGTGTTCAGTGATGACTGTTTTAGTACCTAGGCAATTCAGGATGTAACTGGAAATTTTCTTTGAAAAAGACCTTGCACAGATCTTCTGTACTAATTTTGTATTAAGATGTATTATATCCAACTCTGCCTTTTACAATACAACTACTTTTAAATAGCTTCCCTTTGATTATTTCTAACCCAGCTGGGACAAACCTGACTGATTTTAATATGGCGAAAAAAGATAACATTTTATGGAACTTATCTGCAAGAATGAGCAATGTCTACTCTTGTTTTGAATAGCTGGGGGAAGTGAGATACCACACTATCAAGAATCATCTTCCCATCTCCTTTTTTTCTAGCCTCTTGACTCCTGCAGGAAGCTCATTTAGAAAATAAAACAGGGCACATACTATCTTCCTTAGTCACTAGCTTTAAACTATACTATGGTTATGTACCAACAAGTCGCGATCACTTTTCACTCACGCTGTTGTTTCACAGCTGTAACTGAAATTGGGGTTGAAGAGCAGCTGCCTAGTTGCTGCGTGATGTATATAGCTATATAATGATTATCTCCATAGCAGGCGTAAGGTTATTGCAGTTGTAGAAAACAGATGAAATAATGAGGGATGCTACAGTGGGCTTCAGCCCAGTTTCTAATCACAAGGTATTTGTGCTTTCACTGCAGTGTCAGCAAATCTTGTCCACCTGGTAGACTGAGAGTATGCCTGTGCTAGAAAAGCAATTTCAGGGCTTAAGTTTCCTACTGTACCTTTTTCTACCTTAAATATGGCAGAAGCAGCGTATCATCTTTCTAAAGAATACACCTAAAGCATACCAGCTGTTTCTTCTCATTTAAGAAGTACTCCATGTGATAGCCCACATCTTCTTTTGGATGTGGTAGTGGCAATGGAGATCCCCATTCAGTATTTGGGAGAGGTAGATACACAACGGAAGTTCTTGTGCTGTCAAAATTTGAAGAAATATATACATTTTTTTAATACAGGACCAGCTAAAACAATACACTGGGGAAATTGCTTTGAAAAGTCAAGGCCTGCTTCAGTTTTGTACCCTATCTTGGAAATTTTGCTGTCCCTTATGGTCCTACACTTTGGCTTTCATTGGGCACATGTATTCTTGAAGTCATGTTTAGTCATATTGAAGTCAGACAGACTTCACTGTGGGTAGATGTGTATCTGGTTGCTTAGCCACTACTAAAATAGGCTCTTTTAAAGTGTATTATCACTGACTAGTTTAGCTAAAAAATGGTGATCCTGTTCAGAAGCTGATTCGTGGACAGCTTAGATGCCAATGCCACGTGGATAGCTGGGAGAAGTTAATAAACTTTTGCTGTCCATAATTTAGTCTCATCTCTTAGCTGCTGAATACTATCTCAGGTAAGTCTAGCTAATTAAAGGAAGCTTGTATGGGAGATAATATTCTACCAGTCTGAAAACAGAATACTATATATGTATATATATATATAGTATATAATATATATATAATAGTATATAATATATATATGTATATATTTTACAGGTCCTGAAAGGCAACTTCTGAAAAAATGCTATATAATAAAGTATTAGCCACTTAGCAAGATCCATCTGCTTAAATTAAATTGATAGGAAGCCAGCAAAAAGGCCTCTTGAACCAGTATAGAGAAGTTTTCTGCTTTTTTTCAGCTTTTCCAAACTATAAGTTGCTGATTAAGTTAAATTTTCCTCACTTGAAAGCCATGCAGTGTATCTGGATAAAGACTGTAGGCTTGAATGTTCACATTTTTAGCGTTAGGAAGAAGTATTGGGGAAAGAAGGATGTAAATGTTTAAGTTCCTGTCTTCCTTACTAATATTTCTTATTACTTGAAAGACTGAACAGAATAAACTGGCAACATTTGTAATATTTGCTGGTGCTTCTGGATCAATGTACATCTTGGACTTTATTCTTTGTTTGTCATTAGGTTATGAACCTTTCCTATTTGACTTGGGTAAGGGAAGAAATTACGATAGTGCTGACCTGTGAATTTGTTTTATTTGTAGGTTGAATGTTTGTCCAAGGGCAGGCAGTGCAGAGTATTGCATGTGCTTTTTCTGTGTGACATCACGTGATTATGTGAAATGTTGCTTTCATGTTGCCAAAACAAATGGGGACCTTCAGGCCAAGAACTGCTTTAGAAAGTCAAGTACTTTCTACCACCTGCAACTGCCTTTTAAGACGTTTTTGGCATTTCCCAGAGGTTTCCTGAAAAGGTTCTGAGCCCTGGGTTAGTCCATTTTCCATCATTTGCTCCAAAGATGAGCTTTTTGGCCAGTCGATGTGAATGTGTGATCTGTATCATTTCAATACAACTAAGTGCCGTGTTATGTAGGTGCAAACAATTTGTAACCTACCTCTCAAATGGCTGACTCTTGGAATATGGAGACAGTCCAAGGATTAAGGATTGGAACTGGGCAAACAAGCTTATTGGGGACTGGGGTGCAAAAGTGTTGCACACAGGGGAAATGTGAGCGGAAGGTGAAAACAAGTTGTGTAGCATTACTTAGGAGTGTGTGCATTTTAGAAAGGGTGTTGAAGTATTGGGCAAGGCACAGAACTAAAGATGATTTAGCAGAGATGAGGAGGTTGTGTAAGAGCTCATACTGTATTTCATTAGGGCTGATTAATATACATGTACAGTGATGAAAAACTACCAGAGGCCTCTTTATCTTAGCAGAGAGGCTGAGCAAGAACAAGCAGCTTGACCCTGGAGATTCAATGTAAAAAGAAAAAAGAGCACATTTGATCAGAAAGATGGTTCTTTTTCTTTCATTATGACAAACTACTTCTGGAGATAATGAATTCTCTGTGTCTGAAACAAAACAAAACAAAAAAAAGATTGTGCCTCTGGAAAAGATGACTTGTTTTAATAAGTTACCAGGCTTGACGTGTTGGACTGTAATGAAATATAATGATGTGAAATAACAGGAAATGATTTAATGGTCCCTTGTGCCTTTAGAGATAGGATTTTTTTTTATTTTTTATTTTTTTTTTTTTTTGTGGGCAATATTCGTAGGGCTTTTTTCAGCACTTGTTCTACTGCTTTTATTATAGGAAAGTATACTGTGTCAGCTTGCCCTACACAGCAAGGTTACAAAAGGAGGAGAAAAGAACAACCCATCTAACCTCATGTTTTTCCTATACCATAATTTGAGTGTAATTAATCATTGCTTTTAGAATGGACCTAAATATGCTCACATGCAACTTAAGTTGCTTGCATTTTTGTTCAGAGACACGTTTTGTCAGTATGGGTGGACTCTCTGGGCACCTAATCTGGAATTGTAATGCCTCTGTACATAGGCCAGGAAGTATTTCTTTGGTAAATAATAAGACACTTATTTTTGACACTAGCTGGGAGCAACATCCCGTGCATTTTGTTAGAGCAGTTCTATCATGAACTGATGAAAACTATGTTGGTCAGACTTTTAATTACAGCTCACAAATACATCTAGTTTTGCGACACTGGAACATATTCATGCCTGCTTAGTCAAAATCTGACTAAAGATGTCACTTCTGTCCCCATTCAAAGCAGCACAACAGCTTATTTGCATATAAGGGACATTTTAAGATTTTTCTTTTTACTATTTTTTGGTAACGCTTTGCTTTCATATTCTGAGGTTGTAATAAATGCTCACTTTGCTCCCTTAAAAAGCTGTTCTTACACTTGCAAGTCTAGCTGTAGAAGCACACTGTTAGCATGTGTGCCAAAACACACTCAGATGCTTCGTAGAAGGGATGAGAGCTGAAAGTGCAGTAACTCCTGATGGCTGCATTCATAAGATTTGGTGTAAGAAACAAAAACTGTTTCAATCTTTAGGTAGCATCAAATCTTTAAGGGTTTGGTTTTTTTTTTTTGTTTTTTTTTTTTGAGACATGCCATAGGTGTAACTGGAATTTACTGGGGGAAAATGCTTCTGGCATGAGAATAGTGGGGATGGAGTTCTGATGCTGGCCACGTAGTACCAAATTAACTATTTGCAGAAAGGATGTCTCTGAGCAGGAGTTAGTGTGGCTGTGCTTCAAGTAAGCTCCAAACGCAGCTGTATTAATGAGGCCCTCAGTAGGGCTGAGCATTCACTTAGGCTAAATTGTGTGTTTTATGAATTACGATGCTGTTGGGTCGTGGACAAATTACACGTGTAAATAGGGATTACCTGCTTTGATTCAGAAAACCCACAGAGGCTTTCTATGTACCAGCCAGTTTCAATGTCAAAGCAAGGAAATCTTAACTGCTCCGTTAGGAAGGGCTTAATTGCTGAAATGGGTTCAATTTGAATAAAAAGCTCTGGATTTACCCTGGTGTAGCACATCCAGGATGTGCTGAATTCTCCTATATTGATTCAGGGATCAAATTGACTCTCTTTCAGTGTAAACATTTATCTCAGCAATGAGTCACTCTTTCCCTTTAGTGCTAGCTTGGCTGGGGAAAGGTCTGATCAGCATCATCCCAGGGGAAGCTGTTTGGCTTTATGCTCAGTGGTGTCCATAATAAAATAACTGTGGCGTATCTTCAGAGCTCCTCTGAAACATAAGGGTGATGGGCACGATCGCTTAAATTATAAAGCAAGTCCTGGTGCTTTTAAGAAAGGAAAGGAGAAAGGTCAGGAAAAATTATAGTCAGATTTGAAGAGAGGTGGATGTCCAAAATGACCATAGACTTAGATGTGTCTCTCGTTATGATAAATCCTAAAAAGTCTTTTGAAAGATCTCACCCTGGACTAGGTAATTTTTTTTTCTTTTTTCTGGAAGTGTAAACGTGCTGTGAATATTAAGAGAGTTCTGAGGCTCAGAAGGCAGTTGAGGCCCATTCATAGGGCAGGATGGATATCAAAGATATGTTCCTCGAGGCACTGGGCTGCATTTAAGGTCACACCAAAATGTGTCCTCTTCGCAGCTGAGGAGGAAGGCCGGGTCATTTCTATGCCATTTTGTCTGCACAACTAGAATTTGAGATGTATTAAAAGTTACGCTGTGAAAAGACAGAAGCATGGGTGAGGTTTCCTACCCAGACAGCAGAGCTGTAGGAAGACAGTGGTGTGACTGCTACTGCTGTCAGTCACACCTGGGCTGTCACTGCAACTTTACTGGTCAAAAAGGTGCTTTTGCCAAGAGTTTAACTGAGGAACCAGTGGATTCTGTTACTGTGCTGCAAAGCATCAGTGTGGATTTTACCAGCATAGCCTATCAGCAACGTGTTTATGGAGTCCAGTACCAAAAAGCCAAGAGGGGAAATAATGGGCAACAGCATCTTCAGAACTGCCTTTTCTGCTAGAAGCACTTCAGCCATTTCAGGTACAAATGTTGAGATGAAGTCAGGAATTGTGCTTGAGAGCGTGGCTGTGGGCAGCAGGGAGGCCCTGCAGTTACCAGGGCTGGTGATGGTAAAGGATGCTTGGGTGTACTGGGTGTGGGGCTGGTAATTGGTGTTAAAGTGAAAGTTACATGGGAAGAAAAAAGGAAAGGAGCAAGAGGCAGATAATTGAACCTTTGGGGAGACTGCAGAGAAAGGATGTTGGCACAGAGCTAAAAGTAACTTACAGAACAGAGAAACAGTTGTTAGATGACCAAAGGCACAAGTGTAATAGAACAAGGGAGGGATGTGCAGAGATGCAGCCGGAGAGGAACAGGAGATGCATGTCCTTAAGTGTTGTATTACTGGGGGAAACACAGCC